CGTGGCCGGGGTTCGATTCCCAGTCAGGGAAGGCTTTAAACATTACAAAAAAAATAATAACATAAAATAAAATCACAACTATGTGAAAGAATGCACATCATGACAACTCTAGAACAAATGATGATGAGGGACCTAATTATTTACTGGAGTTGTGTTGGTACTAACTCATACATAGCTCACCCTCCCGTGAGTATTTAGAGGTTGTAAATCACACAAGAGTTTTCTCATCTTTCTCCTTTAAAGCTACTGGTGGATTCAAACTGCCAGAAAGTTTCCACTTTTGGGTAAACAGCACAATGTTTAACCCCACTAGACTAGAGCTCTCTTTTTATCTATATTTTTTACGATTATGTGAGGATTGATGCAATTAGAATATGCTACACAGTGACTGAAATTTAACCATCAGTATATGTTAATTTTGAAAAGCTAGTTACTCGTAGGTACAAAAACTGGCACATTAACACAATGGAGTATTATCTATCAATAAATAGTGACCAAGAACTTGTGAAATGCTTCATGGCATGGATGAAATTAGAGCACATTATTCTGAGTGACATAAGTCAGCCCCAAAAAGACGATAAAGGCATAAGATTACACATTTTAAAAAGCAGTTTAAATACAGATAAAATCATTATTGAACGTTAACAGAGATGGGAAACAAAGGAAAGAGAAGAAGTTTGCAAAATACATACCAATTCAGCTAGATACTATGTAAATGAAGCTCAGTGCCTAGGGGTACAGAATTGCATTGCCAACCAAAGGACATGATTCAAATCTACTAATCGCTCTGCACAATGAAGGTGAAAAATCACCTTCCATGTGATTTATAACCTTTGAAAACCTGCTGGAGGCTCAGTTATAGGTCAGTTCCAACTTGAGAAACATCACATCATACAAAGACACAAGTATATTTTCCTGTATTTTTTTCAAGTTGGAACTGCCTCATAGCTCACCGCCATCAGAGGGTTTTCAGAGGCAGTAAATTGCACAAGAAGTGATTGTCCATCTTTCTCTTGCAGAGCAACTGGTGGATTTGAACTTTGTACCTTTTGAAGAGGTAGTGTAATTCCTTACCACCAATGCTTCCTATATTTCCCTAGCATTTTTTTTTCATATTTGTATCTTTTTTATTTTCCCTTAAGTTGTTTCCTTTTCCCACTATGGGGTTATTTACAAAATTTGAATATAAATGCAAACAAATTCTTTCCATTTCCATCACCCCTCCACCCATCAAATTGTAGGACCCGATGATAAATGTCCTTCCGCCTGCACATCCACATCCCTCTGCTTCCACCCTCTCCCACCCTTCTTGGATCCTTATACTCATTCTACAATAATGGTTTTATACAATATTTATCCTTGTAGGTCTGAGTTAGTTCACTCAGCATAATGCTCTCCAGTCCCTCCCACGTTAGGTAGTAATTTACAAAATAATTCATTGCTGCATAGTATTCCATTGTGTGAATGTAAATCCATTCATTTGTGGTTGGACATTTGGGCTGTTTCCACGTTGTTGTCTATTAACTGAGGGTGTCTACTGGGGTTGGCAAGGTAGTAAAGAAGGGGAAAAAATCCCTTAATTCTCTGTCACTGAATCTTTGACATAAGTTGTCTGTTCAGAAGTCAGGCTCCACAGTAGTGTTGTTGTTATTATTATTATTATTATTGTTATTGTTAGGTGTCACCAAGTAGAGGACTACTCATAATGACACTATGAATAAAACATCTAAACCTAGTCTTATCCTGAGCCAACCTCACACTTCCTGACACACAAGAGCCCATTGCAGCAGTCACAATGTCAATTCACCTGGTTGAGGGTCTTCCTCTCCTTCACCAACCCTCCACCCTTCCCAGCATCATATTCCTCTCCTAGAAATAGCACCTCCTAGCACTATGTCCTAAGTATGTGAGAATATCAAGTCTTCCGTGGTATTTCTGTTTCCTGTCCTATGACTTTCACTATTAATTTTAGGAAACTAAATGTAATGGTAAAAAAAGGATTGCTGTATATTACCTGTTGGCTGAACTCCAGAGTGTCCTGTGAAAGAGAAAGGAAGATAGGTGTTTATAAAACACAGGAGCAGATCTGTCCCCACACCCCATGCTCTCAGTTTAATCTCCCATCTTGGACTCCTCTGCTATGATTTGTAAGCCACTGCACACAGCACAGAGGAGACAGCAGGGTCTGAGGGCCAGCAGGCTATGGAAACACTCGGAGGCCACACGGGTCTAGCATAATGGTGTTAGCCTCACTAGCTCCTTTTTCATTTGGTCTTTACTTCAAATTTCAGGGCATAGTAGCATTTTTTGGGGGGGGGACCTCTGACACGTTATAATCACTGTGTTTTGACAGAAGAACCAGGGATTTTTTTTTTATGTCGTAAAATTTGGGATTGACAAAAGCACAAAAGCTCAGTACAAGGCCATCAGTATATAGAAAACTAGGTTAGAGAAGTCATGACTCTCCTCAGTGAAGTCCATGGGGAATCTCAGCGACCAGCATTCTCCTCACCTTTCTGATTTCTGAAGTGGATGAACAGCCCCGCCCCGAGGAAGAGCACCCCCAGAACGAAGCCCCCGATGCCACTCAGCATCTTGCTCTGTGCAGATCCGGATTGTGCTCCTAGGAGAAAAAGCCACGTTCAGTGATTTGTTCCCAAATCCAACATTTACATTTGGTCTCCTGAGAGTGAGCAGTTTGAGAATTGGAAAGAAGTCTGCTGAGGGGAAGAAAGGTTTTAAACACACACTGAGTAGGTTGGAGGCGTGGTCACTGCACTCATCAGAGCTCAGATCAGATTTGCCACAACAACAGGGGAGGAGCCTGAGACTCAGTAGCTTGTGATAGAGCTAATGAAAAGCAGAGCTAAGATTGCATCCCTTCGGGCCAGGAAGGGCCAACATTATAGAAGATGCTCCTCTCTTAGATCACAGTGAAAATCTCTAGAATGCAGAGCAAAGTACTGGAAGCAGAAATCTAGCTTGAGAGACAGAAACTGCTCCCTACAGTGATGAACATGACCATGACGTGTGCTGTTATGAGAGGATTCCAAATAAAGACAAACCTTTCCTGACTCAGAGGGTATCATTGTCTCCACAGGGAATATGTATGTGTGAATATTATCACAGAACTACTCTCTGTGACATGAGCTGAAGGAGAGGAGAATATACAGCCAATGAAAACCTAGTGTGGGAAGAGGAGGACCTGGCCCTCAGGGATAAGTCAAGTCCCCCTGCTTGGTGACTGAGGAATTGATGAGATGAGATGAGATGACTGCTCACTCCATTCCACGGTGACAGGGCTCTCCAGGCTCGGGTGCTCCACTTGGCAGGAGTAAACCTCTCCACTCTGAGGGACGGCTTCAAGCATCACCAGCATCTGGAAGGTCCAGTCTCCATTGCGGACCAGTCCTGTGGACACAACCCCAGCCTCCTCTTCTTGGCCATTCCGGAACCATTTGACTTCAATGTGTCCTGGATAGAAACCACTCACAGAGCACACCAGGAGGTTGTGGTGCTGCAGGGGCTCCGTCTTTGAAGGGTACACAGTCACCTTAGGCTCCACTGGAGAGGAAAGGCAGAGACAGTAAATGAGAAACACAGAGGAATTCTTGCTTGCCTAGGCATCTGTCTGTTTTTATACCCAGGAACATGTCTTGGACTGGCTTCCCTAGAGGTGGACACATGGCGATACAAGTCAGTAGTTCATGGACCCTGAACTTCATGTGGCCATTAGATTTGAGACATATAAGTGAATTGTAGGGTTTTCAATCATTTGATCACTGTAGGTATGCTTAGAATTTTTGCAAGGTATGCCAGGTTTAATTAAAGGTGTTGGTTTTAGTGCCTGGATTGCTGGGTTCAAGTCTAGAGTTATCTCTTACTAGATGGCCCGAGGAGAGGATTTTGCCTGCTGGTTCTTTTTTAATTCCTCTATACATGAGCTTTCTCATTTATAAACTCACTGCTATGGACTTACGAGGAGTCACAACCAAACCCTAGCTGATCCTCCATTGATTTCCAAACTGTGAATCACTAAGGAGCAGATGCTTGTCTTTCTTCTGTGGAGTCACAGGTGGATTTGAACCACTGGAGAGAGAAGTACAGCCTTTGGCTTAGCAGCTCAGTTCCTACTGTCTCTGCCACCAGAGCTCCCTTCTCATCTCTAAATGGATAAAAAGAACAGCTTACTTTTTAGAGTTGTGTGAGAATTGATGCAATTAATTATGAAACAGTGAAAGTTAGCTATTGTGTTAGATGGGAGCTCTGGGGGATTAGCGTTAAGGAGTTATGCTGCCAACACTAAAGCACTAGGTTCAACTCCACCATCTGCATCTTAGGAGAAAGATGATCAATTTGGTCCCATGAGATTCACTGTCTCTGAAAACCCAGTAGAGAGTCAGATATGCATCAGTTCCGACTTGCAGTACACATCAACATCATATGTTAGGGACCTATGCTGAGACGTACTCTGATTGAAAATAGTATGGATGATGGGAAAACAATAGTGCGACAGGTGGGGAGAAAGGAGGCTGAAGTAATAGCACGTGATCTTGATGTGCACACATGTTTAAAGAAACTTATTTAGATGGGGAATTTCTCTGTGTGTTGAATCCAGAGACAGCATGAGTTCTAAAAGAGAAATTACCAAAAAGTGCTGTTTTTTAACTTTTAAAGTGCTAATATTTGCTGTTTTGATAAATTGTTTTCTCAAAACAAACATATGTATTATTTTAAATTTTATTTTGTTTACAATTTTTTAAATTGGCTTATCAGGTTTGGGTGTGAGGTCATTAAGCATGTTCTTCACACTTTGCACAAACCCTGATACTAGCAGGTCTTTGGGGTTTGGGGTGGTGCTTTGGGGTTTTTAAAGGAGAAGTTTGGGAAACATTGCCATAATACAAGAAATAGTAGATTTAATATTGACGAAAGGAGCTCTGCTGGCCTAGTGGCAATAATATGTGCTGAAATCCCTTAGAGGCCACCAGCCAGGAGAAGGATGGGCAATCTCCTCCTCTTTGATTTACTGCTTCTGAAAACTTGCTGGGGGTCCATCTACTGTACTCATCAACAACATTATTTATGGTAATTTTTTCATAAATTTTAATACATCTCATTTAATATATTGATTGAAAGTTTACTACTGAAAAGAACTGAGCCAATTGTCAGATCTCAGTAATGCCCTCATAATCTTACCTTGTGGAGAACTTATCAGAAAAACTCCTAGAACCTTAACGACAGTGATCAAGAGGTGGTAATCTATAGATTAGTAACTAAAGATGGCCAATAAACATGAAAATATTTAACAGCCACAGAGTAAATTGAAAACAAAAATAAACTTTACACTTAGTAATCTCACACTAATTTTTAAAAACACTGAATAACAATTGAGCTTAAAAGACAAGTTTTGTTACAAAGATACAGAGATTATGACTTAATTATTGTTCGTGCGTAAAAATAGCACCGGGGGTGGGGGGTGGGGGAATAGCAGCGGAAGTATTTCAAGAAACAAAGCATAATTAAAAAACCTAGTTCTATATTTGTTCTAATTGTTGTTATGTGCCGTCGAGTCGCTTGCGACTCATAGCGACCCTATGTACAACAGCCCTAAACTCTGCTCTGTCCTGTTCCAATCGCACTGTCTCTGACACTCCCATCACAATTACCCCAGTCACTGAATCAATCCACCTCATAGAGGATCTTCCCCTCCTGCGCTGTCGTTCTAATTACGTAAGTATATATACTTTAAAAAAAAAAATAAGGAAATGTAGACTCAAAAGGAGCTCTGGAAAGGTCTCAGATGCGTCAGAATTTGTGTCACCTCCTGGATGACACAGGGCAGCACCCGCCACACTCTGCAGATACAGAAACTGATGCCTGTGACAGTTCACCCTAAATGTAACGTGCTCGCAGAAAACACTAACAACTGCTTTGATCTGGAGAGTCAGGTCGAGGAAAGGTCTCGCCTGACTAACCTCACACTGTCCTGTAAGTTTATCTTTTCGTCCCTAAACGTCGCCTAGCCCCCCACACCTTCACTTTACTTCCCCCAATCTCTCACCAACACCCCCCCCGTGTCCCCATCTCAGCCCCGTCACTGCAGCCCTGTGCCCCCCCCGTACTCCCCGCACAGGGACCCCGGGGCAACTGGGGGTCCCCTCCTCCCGCACCCACAGCCGCGCTCACCTCGCCGCTGCACCAGGAAGTTGTCAAGGACCCCATAGTTGTGTTTGCACCTCTCCACCGCGGCCCGTCTGTCCTCCAGGAGCTCCTTCTGGCTGTTCCAGAGCTTGGCATCTGCCCGCCCCAGCTCCGTCACCGCCCTGTACTCGCCCACGTCACTGTCATAGCGCACATCCTCCTCCCGGTTGTAGATGTATCTCTCCAGAAGCCGCACCCGCTCAGTCCCGTTGGTGAAATGACACTCAGCCTTAAGCTGCTCCAGGAAATGTGCTGCGGGGACAGGACAGAGAGATGAGGTGAGGACCACGAAGCCTGCAGCCCTCCAACACGCCCTGCCCCTGCCCTGACCTGCCCCTGCCCCTGCCTCTGACCTGACCCTGACCTGACCCTGACCTGCCCCTGCCCCTCCTGCTCCTGCCCCTGCCCCGCCCCTGCCCTGCCCCTGAACTTGCCTTGCCCCTGCCCCTGCCCCTCCTGCTCCTGCATTCCCTCTCTCTGTCTGACCTGCTCAGCCCTGGGCTGCCCGCTGGGAACAGAGGAGAGAAGCTCTGAAAGCTCCTGTCCGCTCAGACCCTGCGGGAGGTGAAGCCTGAGCTCGGATTTTACTAAAATTAAATAAACCAGCGGCTCCAGGACAAAGACCATCTATCTCTTCCAGAGAGATTTAGAGTCTCGGAGAGTCGGTTCCTACTTGAGTGCAGTGAGTTGGGGTTATTTGTTGGTTTAGAATGGATAAAAGCCAAAAACACACAGCGTTTATACTAAAAACCCGAAACCCAGCCCACCACGTTGAAGGGGATTCCGACTCAGAAGATCTAACATCGAATTTCGGAAATTGTCAAACCTCAAGGAAGGGAAAATGCCCGTCTCCGCCCCGCAGAGCAGCGGGTGAATTTGAACTGGGTTTTCCATCAGGAGCATCGCCTGTGATGCACTCAGCAACGAGGGCCCCTTACCATTGATATGAGAGGGAGAAATGTCTTTAAAAAGGAGAAATCTTTGTAGAATTCTTTAGCACACGAGACTGCTATGATATAGAAGGATGGAATTACAGAATAACATCTTTCACAAGATGCTGTAGAGTGAATTTTCTCTCTCTCTCTCTCTCTCTCTCTCTCTCTCACACACACACACACACACACACACACACACACACACACTCTGTTAATGACACAGTATTAGGGTAATCACACATCGCCCTCTAGAGAACTCCTTATCTACTGGAAGGAGATTGCCCATCTTCTCCAGGTGCAGATGGTGAATTCAAGACACCTGACTTCCAACTCCTTTCCCAGTGTTTACAATCAATTTCAGGTGCGGTATACAAGGAAATTACAGAGTCAAAGAGGAGGAAACAGATTCTACCAAATTTTGCAGCTGGGAATCATGCAACCAAGATGAATTGACAATAATGGGTGACTGGAATTAAAACTTTGGAAGCAAGAAACAAAGAGAAGTAGTGGGAAAACATGGATTGGTGACAGAAATGAGGCTGGAGATCAAATAATAATAGAGTTTTGAACAATCAATGGTTTAATTAATTGCAAATACATTTTATAACAAATACAAATAATAACTATGTACATGGGCATCACCTGATGGTCTACGCAGCAATCAGATTGATTGCATCTGTGGAAAGAATTGTTGAAAAAGCTCAATATCAACTATGAAAATTAGGCAGGTGCCGATTATGGAAAAGACCATCAACTGCTCATAGGAAAGTTCAAAATGAAGCTAAAGACAGTGAAAAGAAAAGAAAAATACACGAGAACTAAAATTTGACCTTGAATCTATCCCAAATGAATTTTAAAACCATCTCACAAACAGGTTGGAGGCCTTGAACATTAATGAATGAAGAGCTGTGGAATGATATTAAAATTATCGTCATTGAAGAATGCCATTAAAAAAACAAAGGAGGAAGAAAAGACTGAGATGGTGTCAGAACAGATTCTGACCATAGCACTAGAATGCAAGAAGCCAAAAAAAAAAAAAAAATGGAAGAAATCAGAGGGATAAAGAAAGAGGTGAACCCAAGAAGTTAAGGAAGATGTCAAAAGAAGTTCAAGAAGACAAAGCAATATATTATAATGAAATGGGCAAAGAGCTGGAGTCATAAAATCAAAAGTGATGAACTTGCTCAGCGTTCCTTAAGCTGAAGGAATAGAAGAATAAATTCAAATTTCAAACTGCAAAATTTGAGGATGCTATCTGCAGAATATTGAAGGGTCCAGGAAGTGTAAAAGAAGATGGAAGGAGTATTCAGTCACCATACCAAAAAGAATTGTCTGACAAAGAAGAATTTCATGACATGACATATGATCAAGAAGCAATGGTGATGATAGAGGAAGTTCAAACTGCTCTGAAGGAACTAGCAAAAAGCAAGACCTCAGGAATTGATGGAGTACCAATTGGCATATTCCAACAAACACATGCAGCCCTGGGCATGTTCACCAGGTTGTGCCAAGAAATCTGGAGGTCAACTACGTTGTCAACTGACTGGAAGAGGTCCAATTTAGTCCCATTCCAAAAAGAGGTGATCTGACAGAGTATGGAAATTATTGAACAATATCACTAATATCATATGCAAGCAAAATCCTGCTGAAGGTGATATAAAAATGACTGCAACAGAACATTAACAGAGAACTACAAGAAACACAAGCTGGTTTTCAAAGACGTTGTGGCACTAGAGACATTACGGTCAATATCAGATGGATCTTGGCTGAGAGCAGAGTACAAGAGGAATGTCGATCTGTGTTGCATTGACAGTGCAAAGGCATTTATTTGACTATGTGGGTCACAACAAATTGTGGCTAACCTTGAAAAGAATGGGCATCCCAGAACACTCAATTGTGCTCATGTGAAACCTGTATTTGGACCCAGAAGCAGTTGTCAGGACAGAGCAAGGAAAAACTGCATGGTTCCAAAATCAATAAAGGACTGGGTCAGAGATGTGTCCTTCCCCATGTCTTTTCAATCTATATATGAAAGAGATCGTTTGAGATGTTGGACATTATGAAGATTATTGTGGCATAAGGTTTGGAGGAAGACTCCAAAACAACCCATGTTCTGCAAATGATACAATTTAGCCTCCTACTGAGGAGAATGTAAAGCATTTGCTGCAGAAGGTCACAGACTACATCTTTAGGATGGATTGAAGCTCATTATCAAGAAAACAAAGATTTTAATCAGTAGGCCAATTAGCAGCACTATGATAGGCAGAGAAGAGATTGAGATTGCTAACAATTTCAGACTACTTGGTTCCACAGTCAACACTCCTGGCACCAGCAAGCAGTCAGGAAATCCAAAGAGAAATTGCATTAGGAAAATCTGTTGTCAAGTATCTCTCCAAAGTGCTAAAGAGCAACGATGCCAATGTGGAGACTAAGGTGCGCCGGATCCAAGCCTTGTTCATTGCAATTACTTCCTATACATTAGACAGCTTAGACAATGAATAAGGATGATAGAAGAATTTATACCTTTGAGTTGTGGTATTGGAGAAGAGTATTGAACATACAATGAACTGCCAAGAGAGTAAACAGGTCTGCCTTGGAGAGGGTGAAACCAAGCTACTCCTTACAGGCAAAAATTTTGAAGTTCTGTCTCACATATTTTGAGCTTGTTGCAAGGAAGGACCAGTCCTTGGAAAATGACTTCATATTTGGAAGGGAGGTGGGACAGCTCAGGAAAGAAAGACACTCGATGAGATGGATTGACACGGTAACTGGGGTAATGGCAGTAGGTGTGTCAGAGTGAGTGGCTCAGGATAGGGCAGGGTTCAGAGCTGTTGTACATGGGTCACTACGAGTTTCAGGTGACTTCACAGCACATAACAACAACAACATTAGGAAACATTGTTGTTGTTGTTTTGTGCCATCAAATCAGAGCCAATTCATAACTGATGCTGCAGCAGCTTTGGGGACTTTTCAAGAGGCAGTAAATCCTACAGGAGGAAATTGACCATCTCCCCCAGAGGAGCTACTGGATTTGAACTTCCTCCCTTTGTATTGGCAGTGCAATTGCTTACTCTTAGCCACCAGAGCTTCCTGAATACTCAAAAACTTGTAGGTATATGACTCAACACTATAAAGGCAAGTTGTTGAAAGTAAGCAGAGATGGTGATGACCAAGAGCTCATTGCATATTGAAAACCATTACAGAGGACAGAAAAGATAGTTAAGAATTGATTTGGCATTAAATGAATGAAAACAAGAAAGTGGTAAACTTTCTATAATTTTGTAAGAGGAACAAGCTAAAGTAAACTATGAAAAAAATGAATCAAGAAATATACGTTTGTGTAACATGGGAGTATCGAGATTTCAAGGTAGCACAGTGCAAGCTAGAGTTTGCAATCTTGACCACATTGTTATTTTGGACTAAATAATTCCTTGAAGTGGACAGAAAACCTCCTAAATTTTGTAAAGTGTTTAACAAAAGCGATGCTACCAAGCTAAAGGTGGGTGACTTTCAATCCACGGCCCTCGGGCCTGTCTTTCATTGTTTTTGTTCAAATATTCCTTGAGGTCGTATAGCCCTGGTGTGTCCACTTGCCGTGCAGCGGTAACTTGTGCTTGCTGTGAGGCTGAACACTGTGACACTGATGTGTCAAATGCGTAATGATTGGTTACCCAATGGAGACGCTGTGGGGTGGAGCTCCCCGTTTAAAACAAGCTTGGAAGCAGGAGCAGCATCCACTTCCATAATAGCTTGCCTCCGGAAACCCTATGAACCTGGAGAGAGAATGAAAGACACTCAAGCATTGAGGACTCTCCTTTATAGGGTCGCTATGAGTCGCCTTCGACTTGATGGCACTTAACAACAACAACCCACCTGAAACCAGCAATATCTCAACAGCTGCAATAAATGAAAGTGTCTGCAGGCATTGCTAAAAGCCTCCTGAGAGACAAAATTATCTCTGGGTGAGAACTATGTGAAAGGTCTGTGGTGAAAAAGTCAATGCTAAATATGAAGTAGATAAAAAAATTACACGGGAAATTTGCTAACATTATATCTTTCAAAATTATTGGTCCAGAAAAAATGTCTTTCCCTGGGAAAAAGTTCTATACTGGTACTGGATTCTGAAACATCAACAAACAATATTTGTAATGTCTGGTGAGAGAGTGTAAAAAGCTGTACTGTATTAGAGAAAAGGTATTCTAATTTCCAAAACAAAGATAATAGTAATTAATGTCACTGAATTATATATAGATATAGATAGAGATAGAGAGAGAGAGAGTGTTAAATTGGTATTTGCTGTATTGTATGTATTTTCAT